ATCCACCATCAAATAATCCACCTTCTGAACCCATTGCACCTGTTACTTCTGAACCTACAAAAGTAACTTCTGCTCCAGTTTCATCAGAACCAATATCTGTTTCATCTGATTCACCCATCTCAGAACAACCACCCAAACAATCTGAAATTCCTTTAGAACCTACCAACACTTCTGAACCTCACATCCCTGAGACAGAGGTTCTTGATGTCACACCATTAAAAACAGTGTTTCAAGTATCTTCTACCTCTTGTACACCAACCACATCCTCTAACTCCTCAGAATCAGAAATTCACCCAGATTTTCTAATCTCTCCATCTGAAAAACACTCTGAGATAAACCAACCTGAAACTACCATACCTTCAAAAACTCTCATTCCAGATCCTATTCCTCCACCTGCACCATCATCTGAGATATTAATCCCCAATTCCAATCCAACATCTTCTATATCCTGTGCCCAAGTTTCTTCTCTATTTCATAATCTGTCTTATGGTTTCAAACTGAAAGACTTTTATGATAGAGTTGAACCTTCTGAGCCCTTCAAACCTCTGAAACCAAAACTCACAGTGGCTATTCCATCTGTGCTTGTTTCATATATTCAATCAATGTCAAATGTAGGATCTTTAGCAACCATATCTGCAACATCTGGTAAAGCTGTTGGTTCAGCTCTGCAAATTGCATCTGATAACACTGTTGCATCTGTTGAACCACCAAAATCTGCTTTCAAACCATACTCAAATGAACCTTTTGATGTTGTTACCCCTCACAGAAGACCAAAACCTCATTTTCTTAATGCTTTAAACAGATCCCTACCTCAAAAACCTGAAATTCCTTTCTTTCCATACTATCTTCCTCCTCTGATTTCCATCCAAAAATCACTTTTTCCACCAACTCCCCAACCTAAACCTATAACTCTGGAAACCTTGGTACTACATTGCCCAAACTTAATATTGATCATTTATTTCAAACTTTTTTGCAAGAAATACAAATGTATTTAGGTAATGTTCAGAAGAAATGCTCAGAAACAATGGATGCCAAAGAATCTGACATCATCTGGAACGGATTCATCAACAGATTCAACACTATAGCTTCAAATCTGAAGAACGTCTGTTCTGATGATGCAAAGCTCAGAGCTGAAAGGACTATATTCTGGACTGTCAACAAAACTGAACCTCTGCTTTGTTTAGATGCTCCTCCACCATCAACAGAATCTACTGATAATGCATTGGTTATGACTCTGGTAGACCCCTCCTCAGAATCTACAGAACCAATGGAAATTGACTCTGTTCAGGCTACAGAACCTCATCATAATTCTTCATCTGAGATAAAGAAAGAACATCCAGATTTTGAAGATAAGATTGCTGCTCTGGAAGCTGGACAGTCAGAGATGAAATCCTGGATGGCTAAGCAGGACAAGAAGTCTGAGGATATGACAGAATGGATGTCAAAGCAAGATGAAAAGAATGAAACTATTACTAAGTGGATGTCCAAGCAAGAGCAATCATCCTCTGAGATTACAGATCTATTGAAGATGCTTTTGTCCAAACACTCTTAGATATTTGTTTTCATTCTAATGTTTTTGCATCTGTTGTTTGCATCTGTACCTTATTGATATATCTTCTAATGTTTGCCTATGTACTCCTGATCTTTTGAATGAATCAAAGTTTTCTCCATTGAATTATCTTATTTATTGTTCCTTTTATTTGTCTTTTTAAAAGTTTTTACTTTTTGCTTATGACAAAAAAGGGGGAGAAAATATAGATCTGAACTGTTTAATATAACTTCACCAGAATGATACTTCAGACATATCTATTCTATCTAACATTTAATCTGACTATTTTAGAACATTTGATAAGTACTTCTATAAAAGAAACTCTGAGTCTCTCAGATCATTTGTCTCTTATCAAACTCTGAATCTTAAATCTGCAAGACATTCTGACCTTCAAATGTTATAAGATCAAACAAGATCTAACTCTGAGGATTACTCAAGAAAAAAAGGAAGTTTCTATTCCTTATTCATATTTAACTCAGGGGGAGATTCATCATCTTAGGGGGAGTTATAATTCTATATGTTCAGTTAAACAAAATTTCTGATACTTTTTGTCATCATCAAAAAGGGGGAGATTGTTAGAACACAGATTGGTTCTTAATAATAACTCTTTGTTTTGATGATAACTGTTAGGAAATTTTATATTTAAGAATTATATACTCTAAAATTTGTTTGAGAGTTTTACTGCAGATTGAAATGAAATTAACTCTCTAGAAGCAAATCTGTATTGTATACAAGAAGTTATCTTGACTCTGAAGCGCCAGATGCATCTTACAGAAGATTCTGATTACTGTTTACAGAAGATCCTGAGCGTAGTCTCCAGAAGGATCTGAAGCAAGAAGCTCCAGAAGATTCTGAAGCTAGTCAGAAGCATCTGAAGCTTAGAAGAATATTGTATGAAGAGTTTCTCAAAGCATAGTTTCTACAGAAGTTTCTGAAAGTACTAACGCTGCCAAGTACTGAAGATCTGTGTCAAACATGCTCTGATGATCAACACGCTGAAAGCACACATGCTGCAGAAGACTCTGATACAGCAAAGTTCTGAACATCATTAGAAGGCTCTGACTCAATCAGACTCTGAAGAACTTGCTGAAAACTGAAGAAGAAATATTCAAAGATTATATCCGTTGGAGTAAATCAAACGTCTCTTTCCTCATTTGTGCTAGACACAATAACACAGACAAAAAGGATTTTTCTGTGCTATCTACTTCTAGGAAATGTCACTTGATGTGCAGACAAAAAGGCTCAAACCTTTTTGGGACTCTCTTTTCAACGCTCAGCATCCTTGGATCAGCTGCCTATAAAAGGAAGTCTCCACCAAATTCTTCAGTTACACAATTTGCTGAAAAGAAATCATATTATTCAAGCTCTCATTCTTTCATATTCTTCTTAGAATTTCTTGTACTTAAAATTAAGAGAAAAATCACTGTTGTGATAAAAGCTTTATAGAAGCATTAATACTCTTGTATTTGATTTACATTGATTGTAAAGGTTTTTCCTTAAGAGGATTCAGTTGGAATCAGTAGCTCTTGAGAAGACTAAGAACAGTTGTTCTTAGGTGTTACTATTGTAATCAATTTGATTTAATAATGGATTAAGTCCTTGTTGAGAAAGGCAAATCACTCTAGGAAGGGTGGACTGGAGTAGTTGTTTTAAACGAACCAGGATAAAAATAATTGTGTCATTATTTTTTAAAGTCTTAATCTTTCATACTTATTCAACCCCCTTCTAAGTATTATCTCACATTCAGGTTCTTCTTCAATGGATGAACCAAGATCTATCAAGTTAACAACAAGGAAAGGGAGAGATATTGAGGTTGAGATATCTACTATGTTTTCGATAATTGGATAGGTTGTGATCTTTGTCTTCGAGTAAGCTCGTTGTGGTAGTTCGTGATTTTTAGATCAAAGAGATCTGATCGTGAATTTCGTAGGAATCAAAAGTTGTTCCCACAAATTATGCCATTGTTTCGTGGTGGAAGTAGAAATGAGTAATGATGTATTAATGCAATGGAGTGAGCTTCCAACGCGACGGAGTTGACATGCAAAGTTAGAACTTCAAAGCTCAAGTTAATTCTTGAGTAAAAAGATAACATATGAGTAAAATTTAATTATAACATATCTTAGGTCTTGCATACGATTCCTTATATATGAAGCGCCGATAGAGATCGTATTGTTTTTTGGAGTGGTATACGGATGACCGTTGGATGACTACTAACAACGAAGGATGATCATGACGTAAATTCAACACATGCCTACAAATCACAAATGTATTGTACTTCCATCATATGACTTTGAATCGATGATTAAGCATTTTCATTAAAGGCCTCGAGTTTGTCTGAGACAACTTAATTAATAGTCAAAATGTATTTTTAAAATAAAAAATTTAATTAAAAAAGAAAATTAGTAAAACATGATACTAAAATATTAAAAAGGTTAAACATAGACTATATAATTGAAGAAGGAAATTGTGTATATAATTCCTTTTGAGGTATAATCTCCCTTTAGATTCACAATTCACAAAAATATAACCTTTTCCCTTTACACCTTTCTTTGTTAATGAAAATTTTCTTTACCTATTTTTCTCTCACATATCGACCAAGTGCTATGCCGATAATATAGTTTCCATCACAGCACTAGATAGGAATGACCCTACCACCCTCCCAACTCTCCCACTTGGTGCCACGCCTTCCCTCCAAACACGCATCAACTCTCCAACTTCGATAACATATTTTTAATATTTATTTATTTATTTTTATCAACCAACGCCGTCCAATAAAGAAAATAGATAAAACTGTGGGTCCTTTTCTCAAAAAATAAAATCAAAATAAAAATATCAATGAATCCATTGAATTTTAATATACGTCTAGTTTCATTGGATAGAAATAAGATAGTACTATTGATTAATTTAATTTAATAAATTTAATACGTTAAGCTTTTTCAGCCGCTACGTTGTTCACCACAGCCGTCACAGCCAGCGTGTCTTTTGTTCTAATCCTATTCATTAATAATTTACCTGTTTAATTAACACTAATCCTCAATTACAACTTTTTATTCTCATTCTATTAATTAACTAATCTTTTCTCGAGAAAACGATTAATACCAATTTGTCCTCTTTCGCCGTTTCTTCCTCTCTCTCTCATCATAACCCTTCCGACTCTGTTATCTTTCCCCGTTAACATTCTTTCTCTTCAATTCCACCTTTCTTATCTCTTTCTCTCAATTCCTCAACCACCCCTTCTCTTCAATCAGGTACAATCTTATTCATAATTTCCTTGTAATTTTCTCTTAATTACGCGATTTGTAATCAAGATTCATCGTTTCAATTATTCCTCGAATTTTCTTGGAATCGGTTGTGAAATTTGAATATTCATCGGTGTGATGTGACGTTATATTCGTTGTTGAAATTTACGCAGGTTTTTTTTTCATCTGAAAGAACAGATCTACCAGAATCCATGGCGGAAGAGCACCGATGTGAAACTCCGGAAGGTCACAGACTCTGCGCTAACAACTGTGGCTTCTTCGGGAGCTCAGCTACGATGAATTTCTGTTCAAAATGTTACCGAGACATTCATTTGAAGGAGCAAGAGCAAGCCAAAACCAAATCCACAATCGAAACCGCTCTTTCCTCTGCCTCCTCCTCCGCCGTCGCCTCCTCTGCCGCTGCCGTAGTTGTCGAATCTTCGGTTCTGGAGATTGAACCTCTCCCTCAACCACCGGTACCGTCGATCGTTACTAACCCGTCGGAATCTTCGATCGGACCGGTTCAAGCGAACCGGTGCGGAACGTGTAGAAAACGGACCGGGTTAACCGGGTTCAAGTGCAGATGTGGAATCACGTTTTGTGGGACCCACAGGTATCCGGAGAAACACGAGTGCGGTTTCGATTTCAAGGCGGTGGGACGAGAGGAGATAGCTAAAGCGAATCCCGTGATCAAAGCCGATAAGCTGAGAAGAATTTGATTTGATTTCCGCCGTTTGATGTGATTTCGACGATTTCATCTGGACCGTTCGCTGCGGACCCTACCTACACAAACAAATCATGTGGCGATGCTTGATGAAAATATTGTAAAAAAATCTATCTATTAAAAAAGGTTGAATAAGTTTTTTTCTTACGTGGCATTTCATTGTGTATCAATTGGAAAAAAAAGTGATTTTCTTTTGTTGAATGAAATTGAAAATTTTAAGTCCACCTCGACGCGTTTGGAATTTACGGTATTGTTAAAATGTAAAGCGTTGCCGTTTCATATTTTATTTGTAGTATGTATATATGGCAATTTCTAGTTGGTGGATCATTTGGTTTGTGTGAAAAGTGAAAGTCCTACTCATTTCTTTTGTTGTCACTAGTGTTTGTCTAGATATGTTTGGAATGAAAAGAAAAAGAGTAGAATAAGTTAAAATGCAAACTTCTACTATATTATTTTTAAGAAAGCTGGCTGAGTTCTTCATAAAAATATATCAATTCATTGAGTTGTTATCTTTTAAAATCTTTTAAAATATTCTAAAAGTTTATACCAAAAGGCAAATTCTAAAAGAAACATTTTTCACAGCATATTTAAGTTATACATTTATTATTATAGGCATTTCATGCCTCAATTAAGACGCAGTTAGGAGAAGCTCCTCACCACCATTAACCATTATCTTCTTTTGTTGGAAAAATTAGTAACTTCATTGTTAAGTTTTTTATAATTGCTTTTTAATTTGATTGTTATACAATTAATTAGGTTATTCTTTTTTTGTTTATTTTTGAATTTCCACCGGGTATATACAAATATATTTATAGTCTTTGAAAACGTGCATGGTGTGTTACCACACTGTTTTCCTTGAAAAATGGAAAACAACTGCTAATCTTTCAAATTTAATTTTGGTGACTCACATGATCGATCAGATTGATCTTAGGACATGTGCTAAAGGTTTATGTTTTGAAATCTATGTAAGTTGCACACTTCGACAGTGTTTAGAAAAAAAAAGTTTTAATCGTAAAGGTGTTTGTTTGACTGAAGCGAAAGAGAAGATAGAAATTTAGAAGGAAAGAGATAGAGAACTTAGAAAGGAATTTAGGACGAAGATAAAGTAAAGTGCATAGAACGGGGTAGATTGTAGAAAAAAGTAACGGAAAACTTTGTAAAGTTAAACAAGTAAATTAAACTTCATTGAAGGTAAAGATGACGTGTTTATATAACGTACATACTCTGAGTAATTTTGGGAGTGACTTGTACAAATAATAAATTACAACACACTGAATTCTATGTCTAAAACTCCTATTTATAATAGTAGAAATAACTACCAATAACCTCCTAAGGCCATCAGCTTCTGACAAGTGTCATAATGTATGAAGTCATTTGCCAAACAAACGCCACTTGTCCCTCTTAGTCATAGGAAAACACCACTTGTCCCTCTTAGTCATAGGAAAACATAACTACTCCATCCATTATTTGAATTTCAAAACTTCACTAATCTCCAGCCAGCATCTCGGTCGAAGGCTACTTTCTTTTAGGTTCAGAATTTTCTCTAAGTTCCACAACTTTTGACTTCCCAATCGAAGGTCTCAAGGCTTTGAAAACCTCTTTACCTCTCAAAAAGACTTTAATATTTTATTTAAATATTTTAATCTATATATATGAGGCGTCAAATTTGTGAGCTAACAAATTGTCCCCCAAAAATGTCTTTTTCGACCTTTATGTAGAAAAAGAACCATTTTTTGACAGCGTCCAATTCGACGTCGTCATTTTGACTTTCACACAAGCATCAATGTGATTGACTACTTGAGTCTAGGAAGACAAGAGAAGAAAGAAGAAAGAAAAAGCAGGAAACTGTTCCACTATCCCCGTGCACGTGCCTGACGTCATGGGTCATTATGGCAAATTTCTTGGAACTCACAAAAATCCTCAGACCATCATCATCCTTTTTAGGGCCCAAGACAATCATGGGTATAGGTAGTATCTGCCACCGCCCCATCTCTTTATCTTGGGACAACACGTGACCCATTATCTCTATCCACTAATGATGAAAGAAAAAGACTTTTGATCTCCAAACATCCTATAAATAGTTCTTCAAAAAACATTTCCAACCTTTCCACTCTTCAGCAAATACCCACGTATTTTTCAGACATCTTCTAACTCTCAAAAACCCATTTCCTCCCCAAACTTCACCAATGGCATCATTTATGGCTGAAAATCAGACTCAAAAGAAGAAGACACAAATCAAAGGACAATCAGTTGCACCGCTCCTTCCTCCTTTCGCCACATTGAGTGGGCCAAAAATAGTGAAGAATCAACAGTTCATCCTTGAACCCCTACTAGAAGAGAAGAGACACATATATGAATCCTAGGTAATAATTCCTGTTACTGTTGCAAGTAAACCTTTGGCTATGTCTGGTCCGTTGTCGCCATTAGGTCTCAACTATTCCAATCTTAGTGACTTTTTCCCTTCCTACCGTAAGACCAAACCCTTAGGGCAAAAGGATTCCAGCAAACTTCCTACTGAGGGCCCAAATAGTTTAGCACTCTATAATGTAGACCTAAAATACCTTAACGATGAAGCCAGGTTATTTAGAGTCACCCCCTACTTCAAGGATTCTGATCTTTACTTAAACTGGCTAACGAAGATGGAGAAAGTCAAGGCCCATGACTGGAAAGAAACTGGCATCTACGATTTGATCATGATGTCAAAGGTCGGCCCAACTTACTGCCCTCTCATGCTAGCTTCCTCATTGTACTTCTGGGATAGTATCTATTATACCTTCCATCTCCCATGTGGGATGATGACACCGACAATGTTTGACATAGCCGCTATCACAGGGTTGAAACCCTATGGATTGGTTTATGACCCTGAGGTAGATTGCCAAGACACCATAAGATTTTTCAACACCAAACCACACTTATACCCATTTCACCAATCACTACCATAATAAAAACACAACCACAGTCGATGATGAGGAACATATAGCTTTTCTAGCCATGTGGCTATCTCGTTGTGTTTTCTGTACAAAATCTTTGCAGGTGGCGCGGAAGTACCTCACATTGGCCAATCAACTGCATCTGAATCGAGGCATTTGTCTGAGTGAGATGATCCTGACCAGTCTGTACGAATCCCTCAGTGAAGGCGCTGGCAGGATGAAGGGCAAAGAAAGTCGTGGGAACTTGTTACTATCAGGCCCTTTCTGGTTACTTCAATTGCGGCTCAACGCCACTTTCGAAACCAGCCTCCCAAGCAAAGGAAAAGTTGATGAAGAATCTACTGCTGTTACAGAAAGAGGAGTCGAATGGACTCGACTGGTTCAACTTACCCCAAGTGAAGAAGGACATACGCTCAGAGCCAATCTTTCAGGTTTCATTCAGATGTTTGCAAAACGTCATGAGTTTACTCCGAGGATGGCTCCATTTACAGAGAGGAGGCATGGTCCTGAGTGGTTCACCAGACCTTTCCCTCATTTGCTTAAAAAATAAGAAGAAGAGTCGAAACTTGTCTGGGAGAGATTTATGACACCTCGACTAATAATTCACAAGCTCAACCTTCTCAGAGGCCAAGCATCTTTGGTGGCCTATCAGCCTAACCTAGTATCACGGAAATTTGGTTTGATTCAAACCTTGCCTAAGTGCTTGTATGATAAAAAGGCCCATGTTATCCTTCCCTCACTGCTTTTAACCCTATTGAATGTTCGACACACTTAGCTCGCCACACTCACAAGTCCCTCTTTACACCCGTTCATTTTGAACCTTCTTATCTCTGCTCCCAAGAATTCTACAACTTATGGTCCATGCACTATACCTCATAATTTCTTGATGTTTTAAGCTTTGTTCGCTTGATTGACCAAGCTTTCGTTGATGTGCAGGAGAAGATCAAGAAAGGTACATCTACACATATCAAAGAGATTCAAGCCTTCCAGAAGTACTTCGAAACCGCCTATCAACCAGATGATGTTAGTCAAATCATTTGTGAGGCTGCTGTCACTTTGAAGGAAAATTTTTCAAAGAAAATGGAGAATCTGAAAATCCCTTCATACGTTCCTCATGAGAAACGGTATGAGGTAGCTTTTACTTTATTTCCTCCAAAGATCCCTCGATTGCCAAGTGTTGATTTTAGAGTGGCTCTTGCCCCTCCATTTCCAAATTGGTTTATTTCTATAAAAATCCTTCGACAGCAGACAAGACCGAAAGCACAACGGGTGGTTCTGACTAAATATACGCTCGACACTTTCAAAGGGCACCTTCATGTTGGTATCGAAGACGTTCGCATCGAATCCTAAATTCTTGAAGGTCATCCCCCTTCGATTTGGACTCTTTTAATTGAACTTCATTGTTACTAACTGGTAGCAATGTGATTTGTTTTGCAGCTGTCCCTAAAAAGGGTGCTCCTCCACCAAGAACTGAAGGCAAAGTTGAAGGCCATAAGTTAATTCTCTATAGGCCTTTGTTGGTTTAACTCCCTTAGCTGTTTCTAATATTTCTTAATGTTCTAGACTCGCAAGCCACCCACACCTCAAAAGAAACTTAAGAGGGTTTCCGCCAAAATAATTATTGACTCAGAGGATGATGACAAATATCCTCTTGAATATTTACAACTGAAGAAGAGGCGGAAAGTCAGTCAAGGGATGGATACTGTTAGTACCCCACCTGCCCCTTTGATGGTCAAGACTCCAAAGCTAATCACCCCTGTTCATGTTGAGGGTGCCTCGATTCTAACCATTGTCCTTGTAGAGAGCGACAATTCGAGTCCTGCTGATGGGGACACTAAGGTATACCTTGTGTCGAAGTGCTTCTTGAAGTCTTGTTTTGTTTATATCTTGTCTTTGCTTCTCACGCCTGGTTCTTCTTTCATCTAGGCTGATGTTGGAGGTTCGAAACTTGCCTCGACCAAGTCTCCTTCTCCAGCCGTTCTTTTAAACAGCCAAGGTGAGCCTACTTATCATCCCACATCTGACTTGGGCTCTGGTATGAGTTCTCTTAGCGAAATTAACAAAC